TTCGATGATACGCATGATTGCATAGTCAAGGCTCTATCAAAGTTGTCAGGTACATAATCCGACGATGATTGTGCAGGGCTTACGCTTGACATGTTCTGCCAATGTTCCGTCATCCGACGAGACCGCTCGCCGTACGGCTTTGGTGAGAGATCTCCTTCTGGCTCTGAGAGATCTTCCTGCAGGAGCACTATATTCTCATGCAGAGATTCGATCGCCCGCTCAATCTCTGTCTGTATGGAGGGTAGGACCTCTTCGAGCGGCGCAGTAGGACGCAAGCTTCGTTTGGTGTGGGGCCCTGTAGTACCAAGCGAGTCGGGTGAGTCGACATGAATGGAACAGAATATGAGCGACCTCACAGCACATGCAATCAGGTTCATCATCTTTGACTGTTCCCTGTTCTGAGTTGACGGCCGGGATACTCTGCGGATCCTGGAGCTGCGGAGTAGCTTGATAGTCCTCAACGACAAAAGCAGCCTCTTGAACGCCCTGGACGTCGCGTGCACTCTCCATGATCTGATACTGAGAGCTATATGAGTCCGACCAGCAAGTACGGCATAGCACCTGCTCAAGGATCCAGCAAGAGACGAAGATGGCGGTGGAGGATCAGCCCCGCAAGTCCGAGCCGCGCGGAGTTGATCGCTCGCGTGGCAGCTGGGGCGCTACACACACAGCGGTAGTACTGTGGTACTGTGCGCCCTGGCTCGAGCACCGAATCCTTAACGGTCACTACTACCGAACTCCACTCTCCGCTGTCGACGCCTCTAATATTCGTTCTATGCAGAATGAACGATTTCCCTCCCAGCTGGACGTGAGAGTGGCACCAGCAGCAGTGCAACTTATCGGCCGGCCCGCTGCCCGGGTGCACAACAGGTCACGCCCGCTCGAGTCTGAGGTCTCCGCTGATCGCTCTTTGCACGCCAGAGTCCAGCAGCTGAGTTGAAAGCTCCGTCTGTTCCAGATGATGGTAGGTGGTGTTCGGTACACAACGCGTGCTCGGTCTTATGGCCCGGACTGCTCTTGCCAGCTCGTCGCGCTCGAGTATACCTGAAGTTGACGGGGACGCCGTAGAAAGAAAGTTAAGTATTTACATGCTGTTCGAAACATTCGCTTCGCCATCGTCAGCAAGAGCCCGAGCCCCTGAAGCGTAGTGGTCATCGAGGTCACTGGACGGTCCTCTCCACCAGCCGAACATTTCCCCGCCGCCGACGAGATCTTCCACCGGGCCGTCCATCAGCTCGTGACCACCACATAGTCGTTAAATGGCGATGATGCACGCGACGAGTGCTCTGGCTCCTCCGCAGAGGCATCCAAGCGGACGGTATGCGTGCTCTGTTCAGCTCCTTGATAACTGCAGTCGTCGGGGCCTCTTGGGTCAGTGCGGCCGCGGTGCAGGATCGGTCACCCAAGACGTGTACTCTGCGCCCACTCGGGCATGGAAGGGATGACACTGACCAAGTAGGTAGAGGGTACGAGCCATGATTGTCGATGTTCGCAGACTGAATCTATTACAAGGTAGAAGCGGCCATCAAAAAATGTGGCCACTTCGGGACGACCGTGTTCACTCCGGGCCAGTACAACATCACAAGGTGGGGCGCAACGCCCCTCGTCAGTTCAAATACAGTATTAACTGAGACTGACCTCAGGAAGATGACCTGGGACCTCGTTTCGTCCAAGGTCGACTTGCACGGGTATCTGAACGTGAGCTTCCACCACCCATCACCCAGACACGCTCGCTAACCCTCTTTCGCAGTTCAAACCCGACCCGGAGTACTGGCTCGACGCGGCGAACACCTACCGCGTCGTCTTCATCCAGAACCAGGCCTCCTGGTTCGTCATCACCGGGCACGACTTCCTCGTCGACGCCCACGGCGCGGGCGGGATCAACGGCAACGGCCAGACCTGGTGGTCCTTCTACGGCAACCGCTCGCGCTCGGACGGGGACGGGCGCCCGATATCGCTCACGCTATCGAACGTAACGCGCGGCGTGATCAAGGACTTTAGGATCGAGGCGCAGCCGTTCTGGTGCAACACCGTCGCGGACTCGAGGGACGTCGTATACAACGGCATGTATTGCAACGCAACGAACCAGGATCCGCTGTATGCTGGACAGAAGTATGTCACAAGCATAGTACTTGCAGTCCCGTGACTTCGATACTGACAGTCCAATGCCGCACACAGCGTTGTACCAAATACAGACGGTATGTCGGTGAGCAGCATTGTCAATGCGCAATACTGAGGCGCCCCAGGAATCAACACGTATCGCTCCGACAGGGTGACCCTGCTCCGGTGGGATGTACGTAGCCCCTGCTGAGCTTAGCCTTACCAAGGCCTTACTTCCGCCTCTGCCTAGATCACCTGTGGAGACGACTGTCTCGCCATCAAGGGGGTGCGTAAATGCGATTCCGAGCATTGCCTAAACAGGCCTGCCGATACGCGTCTCGCAGAACTCGACGAACATCCTCGCCAAAGATATTACCTGCCGCGGCGGGAACGGGATCGCCGTTGGGTCTCTTGGGCAGTACGCCGATCTGGTAAGTCGTCGCGCTGACCGCTTGCACGGCCTCTGGCCAACATCTCCCCACTACCCAGCCCGACATCGTGGACAACCTCGTGATGGAAGACGTAAAGGTCAGTATGCGCTAGCTGCAAGAAGACGAGCGTTCCATTGACGCGCCGGCTGGATAGCTGATTCGTCTCGACCCGCAAGTACAACCGAACATGGTCTCAGGCGTTTATCTCAAGACATGGACGGGATCCGTGCACGGCTCTCCTCCGACCGGTGGCGGAGGCGGCGGAGGTGCGTCTCTACGTCAACAGCACTCAGGGCCTTCTCTCATGCCGCTCGCCTGTAGGTTATGTTTCGAACGTCGTCGCGAAGCGCGTGTCCGTCGACCGGGTGACGGTCCCGATCCACCTCTACCAGACGAACGGCGGACATTCGTAAGCATAGATCTCCACAACTTCCGAAGAGTCCAGTCTGAAGTCGGCCACAGAGGCGACGCGCCGTCGAAGCTGCAGTTCAGTAACCTGACTTTCAGCGACTGGACGGGCACTTCATTGCGCAACACCAGTGCGTCTCCATTCAACGCTACTCATATCGTCCTCTTGCAAGTCAACTCACCATCACGCCCCAGTTGTCGACATCGAGTGCAGCGCTGCGGTGCCCTGTCCCAACATCCGCTTCCACAACATCAATATCGCCGCACCGAACGGGACCTCCCCGACCTACAAGTGCGTGAACGTCGCGAGCGAATCTGGCCTCCCTGGTACGTCTGTGCGCTGTTTCTGCAGGCCATCTCGCTCTGACTACGGATGCCTGCGAACGTCTCCAGCATGCATGTAACACCGAGTACGGGGTGGGAATGACGTTCTACGCGCTCATAGCTCTGTGAAATGCTGTTGTCTACATCTCACAACACCAGTCCTCCGTAAGTGGTGGCTCATCAGGGTTCCTGCTGTCCCAGCGACGCCGCCGCTTCCCATCTATCATCTCGTCATACAACACCACTGTAGATGTCAGAATCCGGGTGCGGGTGGTCAGAGCCCGGATGTGGTGATACGCTGCAGCGTGAACGTTTGAACGCGCCCCGTTGTATCCAACTTCGTGCGACTTCCTTCGACGCATCCTCAACTACATAGGCGCGCATCAGCTCTCGAGCGCCTCGGCCGCTGCGTGCGCATCTGACCCGGTTCCTCACTCTCCGCCATGACCACAATAATAAGGCACTCAATCTCTCACTGGAGCTGGCCAGCAATCTCCTAGCAATATGTTGAACCTTGGGAACACGGCTGGACGACACAACTGAGGGCCTTCACTCCGTCAGCCCAGGTCATGACTCGAGCGACAACTCTGAACTCGAGCTCTGACGGCCGCGGTCAAGGGCGCAGACACATAAATATCTGCATCTCTCATAGGGGTAGACACGGTGCGTATGCGACACCACTCCCAGTGGAAATCTCCCGAGCTGAAGTCTACTGTCCCGTAGTGGGCCGTAGGCCCGTAGACGGCGTGCAACAAGTTGACCTTCGTCAGCATGGTAACGGCTACATGCCTGCAGGTCTGGGCCGTGAGGTGTTGTTCAATATCGTCTTAAGGCGCATATTCCTTCCCGCGACAATCTGTCACGACTAGTCATATTGTGAGGCATCACCTCGCGCATACTACGCCCCCATTCCATACAGTACTCGAGCATCAGCGATCCTCAAAGCAGGCCAGTTGTGCCACTAATCCTCCAGATGAAACGCAGGCTTCAGACGCGCCCGAACGGCCGCACCATGCTCGGTCGCGTCGCCGTTCTCAGCGCTTTCCACACCCGCCACCACCTAGCATGTTCGAGCCCAGGACTGGCATGCATAGCTGCCGACGTTCCAGATTGCATATCATACTTCAGGCAGGCGGAGAGCCGTCGCGCTCTTCAAGCTCGTCGAGGGCACTCTCCGCCACGTTGAGTGCGGTCGCGGCTTGTACCTGTAAAGCCGCCGCCGTCGCCCGAGGGACCTAGCTGGTCACACCCTTGGTTTTCTTCGGGCCATGCTGATCTCGTCAGACCCCGTTCCACAACGCCGCGCAGGACAGCAAGGTAAGTACATGCGGAGCCGTCTACGTCATGCCGCATTCTCGATTCTCACCACGGTTCAGTCCGGTCGTCTCCATCCGTAATGGCCTCTCCATAATTTTACCGGCACATCGGTGATCGTCCTCGCGAAATCTGAAGGGTCTTCCACTTGCCGAAGGGAATGCGCTGCCGGAGATGCGCGCGTCACCGTGACATGGCATGGTGCGCACGTCAGTGTGTTTCCATCACCGCGCACCTGTGCGATACACATTGGAGGTGCGTGCGCGTTGCGTGTAAGTCCGCCTTACCTGATAGGTGCCCGACCATTAAAAGTATGCTGCTGAGCGGCACCTTACGGTGATCGCTCGTCTTCCCGAGTCCAAGTGGTACCCCATCGCTGGAACGGGCACGAAGGCTACTGTATGGTCGAGAAAAAGGTATGCATTCCCACTAGCCGACTCGAACGACTGACCTCGTCATTGACCAACGCTTGGAATGCTATACTAGTGACGCGCTCTACCAACTGAGCTAAGCGGGATGCAACCGTTACGAGCCTGGGATCGATCAGTACACGCACTGTACTTCATCCAGCTTCGCGCGCCGCGCGAACGATTCGATCATACCTAGTGTGTCCAATCTTCATTTCCTCCACATCGCTCGGGCTGCGACATTCTCTTGTATGTCTGCGAGATATAAATCACCTTGTCAGGTGTCCAGTACTGAGACAGAACCTGTCGTGTCGTGCGTACTGTTTCCTGCTACCATTTGCGGCGGGCTCGCCACAAGTCCCCACGACTTCCCAACGATCTTGCCTACATCATCATGCCGCCAGGACTGCATACCGCGTCAAATTTCGTGATCAATAGTCGAGTAGCTCCTCGGAGGTACCATCTGCAACCTCGGGTCCTCCAGCGGCTTCCCGGGCCGGTTTCGTCAACTTGTCTCGGACCTCTCCTGCTTCTCTGACTCACAGTTCACTGGTGTCTGCCAGCGGACTCGAACGCCTCTCGAACAGCGCTGTGTGTTGAAAGACGCCAGACCAGCGTCGCGTCATCCGGATGAGGCATTAGCGCACGGCAAGGTGAGCAGAGTTAGCCTCACACGCCGGACACTCCGATACTGACATCTGCTCCCGTGTCTATTCGTTAGGCCCATCCTGACCTCCGCCTGTGGTGAAAATTAGGACGCCGCGTGCTCACGAGATACCGCATTGACCTATATCGACGCTGCTAGAGCGATCGGACGGGTAACGGGCTAGCCCCGGGAGCAAGCGCGTACCTACCTCATGTGAGTGGCTCATGCACTTCTTCAATATCTCGACACTGTCCGGCCGCTGGTACTAGCGACATGGATCACATCCACGCGGTGAGGCCTGGTGTTTTTCGGAGCACCATACCGAACTGCAGGAGCATCATGAAGTGCATGAAGTGCCAGATTAGTGGCAAATAGCGGTACGACAAGCCCCTCATGTTGACTCGTGAGTGGGTCGTGTCCTATGGGCTCCTTGAGCTGAATGATCATCTGCCAGCCAGCGAGCCACTCGTGTGCCATGATGGGGACTAGCGCATTTAAAAATGTAGAATGTAGATCTCACTTGAGGTGAGCGCTTTCATTATGCCGGTATCTGCCTCGTGGGAGCCTGGGCGAACCCGTCATCTCGAGACCTGCGCGACCCCGGCCGACGACCGCCCGTTTCCTCATCGTACGACCGAGTGTCGCGGCCGCTTGACGCTCTTCCAGTGGGGCCGGAAGTGGTCCTCGGTCACCCGGTCTGGAAGTGTGAAAACCAGTTACGTATCGAGAAAGGTCCGTCGGTTGATGATGCCTACGTTCTCATACTGACAATCGACATCCATCAGAACATGTATGACACTCGGGCGGCCGATATCTGGACGTCGCGGGTCATATGTTGGCTCAGTGCACGCTTGACTGGCGCAGGGGAGCATTCTCGGGTACGGAATGCTCTATCAGTACTCATTCGCCCTCCCCAGGAGAAGGGGCGTTCCACTTGCGTCTCCGCTAGTAGTCTCATCGATCGCGAGTTTCTGCTCATCAGGGGTTCTCGGACTCTGTGAGAGCACCGTTCGCCGATACAGGGTGGCAGAAGTGGCCGGCTAGAACGTACTGTGACCGACTGCCGTGTCCTCTGTTCTTCAAGCGGGGACTGGGATAGTGGACGTGGATCTACAGCATACTGTGCCACCTCTCGATGTTCTGACTGTACACAACTCAAGGGAGCGCTGGATCTGCGCGACCTCCGCATGCCCGAGGGTATGATTCAGCATGCAAGAGTGTTTCCGGGAGCAGTATAATGCCCGAGCCGAAGGAGTGGGCGCCGAACGGCAACCTAGGCCTGCATCAAAGCGGCGGTGACCCAAGATCTAGCGATCGTGCTCCGGCGTTCATCTTCATTTATTCTTCCGTAAACGTCTCTTCGCAGCCCTTCTCCGGACGCCTGCATGCGCAGACACCGATGTGCTCTGCCAAACCGCAACTGCCGATTCGCGCGGAAGGCTCCTCGCATTCAATATTGGAACCCGCCCAGCCATCCGCGCCGCACTCGCAGCGACATGTCCATTCCGGGGACTCTGTCTGGCATGGGAAGATGCGGAGGAGAGATCCAGATCAGTCCTCACCGACTTCCCGAGCAGAAAGGAGATCCCGGGGTCTTATCGGTCTCTATCCAGTCGTGGGACGAAAATCGGTATATAGACCGGCAATTTCTCTCGGCCTGTCCAAACCATCTTCAGTCTCTCCCTCGACATCCCGCCCTTCGTCCAAGCTGCCAGGTCGACATGCCTACTCGATACGCGCGCACCGTCGGGCACATCGACGAGCTCCTCGTCATGATATTCTCCTACCTCGACGATCGTGCCCTCTCCCGAGCAGCCTGTGTCTGCACGCACTGGTCAGAAATTGCGCTTGATTGCTTGTGGCACGAGGTCACCGACCTCAGGCGTGCGCTCACCGTTCTCGCACCGCTCTCGTTGAAGCAAGAGCGTGCCTCGAGTTCGAGCAGTCGAGGACCGAATGCCTATGTGAGTGGCTAGCCTGGATGCGTGTCTCTGCAGACGTTCTGACATGAATTTCGTAGGCATTCAAGCGGCCGTTAACGGCGGACGACTGGCAACGTTTCCAGCGCTATTCATACAGGGTTCGCCGCCTGCGGCACGACCAACGCCATGTTCGGGCGTCGACAGAAAAGGTCAAACGACACGTGCCCCTGCACCCTAAAGTATTTGACGAACTCTCTGCGACATGCCCTTACCCGGATATCTTCCCGAATCTCCAGTCCTTGACATGGTTCTCATGCGTCCCCTCGCGGCAGCACCTCAGCCTCACCTTCATGCATCGGCGCGTAAAACATCTTGGATTGCACATGTATCGATCCGAACCCCAATCCTTGACAGCTTTCCTGCAGCAGGTTTGTTCCAGGTGCGCCGGGGTCACTAGTCTCGAGCTGAGGCTCGCCGAGCCAATGCGGGACCTCGAGGACGGCATCGTCATACTACTGCGAGGCTTTGGCCAGCTCCAGCAGGTCTCACTCCCGATTTTCTCTCTTACGCCTCGGGTCCTCACTGAGCTGTCGACACTCAAGCACGTGGTAGCGATAACGGCGGGTCATCCTGCGCAGGCAGAGCCTGGGGATCGCAGAGATGTCGCCGATTTCTCCCCGACTATTCCCGAGGATGCTTTCATCACTCTCCGCGGCCTAACCTTCAGCGCGCAGCTACCAGACGCGACCCGCCTGCTCAACACCTCCCTATTCCCCGCACGCCTCACACGTCTCCATATCAAGACCGTGAGGATTGCGACTTCCACCGCTTTACGCGACTTCTTCTGTGTCGTCCAGGCTAGATGCACCTCTCTCGTGGACCTATCGGTCGACTACATAATCGCTCCAGACTCTCCTATTGCGTCCCCTCCGCCCCTCCCGCAAGATCGCCCATCCATAACGACCTTTCGGCCGTTGTTCTCAGCGCGCTCTATCCGAATCTTCGAGTTTCGATGGGACTATGCCCTCAACCTTAGCGATGACGACATGGAGGAATTCGCGGGCAGTTGGCCTTCCCTGGAGAGTCTGCAACTGCACCCTGAGCCTGTCCCAGAGCCTAACGGACCGACGTTGTCCCTACGCGCCCTTATTCCCTTCGCCAGGCACTGCGCCAACCTCCGGTATCTAGCGCTACACATAGACGCGAGCGAACCCTCGGAGCTATCTCACCTCCTCCGTTCTCCAGGGATCATGCCCTTCAGGCGTCTGGAGACCCTCGCGGTCGGGCTCTCCGCTATCACGAAGGCCGAGCCGGTTACCTTGTTCCTGAGCCAGCTCCTCCCGCTCGGGTGCCCCGTCAGCTGCGGGCTGCGGTGGCCGGACGCCTTCGATCTCGCGCTCGAGCATGCGCTGGTGCCTCTGGAGGTGCGTACGGAGATGTCCACCTTCTGGATGCGCTGGACCGAGGTTGCCAAGCTTCTCCCGGTTGCGACGAAGGCGCGGCTGGAGGAGAAGGCGCGATTTGCGGCGTTGGAGAGGCAGATGCAGGCCCTGGAGGTGTCGCGCTCGGAGGACCGGAGGAGGCTCACGCATCTGGAACGCGAGGTGGAGGATCTGCGATACCGAACGGGGAGAACGCCCTGAGCGTGGGCGCGCGCAGGGGTGGCGAAGGACGTGCTAAGGACAGGTGAGTAGATGGCACCTTCGTATCGCTTCTGTGACTCTGCTGATTGCTTTTGGCAGCACTCCCGGAATGGTAACCGGGCTTGCATAATGAACCGCTCTAACCCCCACCTACCATGATCATTGCATCTCATGATAGAGTTCTACAAGGGCCTTCTCATTCTCGGCGCTCTTGAATGGAACCGCCATAGCTGCCTACGTGCGCAAATGTACTATATACTACTTCACGCAAACACCGGGAAGATGTCACACCGGCCTTGGGCGAAGGCTACTCGTTGGAACTACGGTGTCCTTGGTTGATCCGCCGACAGTGTATCAGTGCGACTATTATCCCGAATTTGTCCTCACCAATCGTCTACTCGATGTCCAGCGTACGGCCCACTATCGAGTGCTTCCTCTGCTCTCCGGTCCGACCGAAGCCTCCTGGTGGTACGCATTGCAACCCAAAACCTAATCGGCTCAGCTCGGGCTGGCCCATGACCGCCTGCATCCAGGTAGTTCTCACCAGAAGGCGGTTCAATCTATCCCCGTGCCCCTCGGGCTCTGTTCAGTGCGACGCTCACCAAGTCGCCCCTGCCCTTCCGCCCTTCTAAGAACGAGTCATGTCCTGGGACAGCAGTAGCCGAGACAGATATATCCTGATGGCAGTTACAGGGGTTGCTTCTGCGGTCGTCATTCCCAGGAGTGTTCGCGAAGGCCGCTGCCGAGTGGGAGCTGGGTTGCCGGTGACAAAGACGGTAGGAGGATGTATCGCAGGGAATCGCACGAGACGTTGTGGCGCACGCGAAGTGCAGGACAAGGTGCAGCGTGCTAATGCGCGCCGCCCTCGTGCGAGCAGTCTGGCTAGCGATATTCATGTG